ACTTCTGCTACAGCATGGGACTCACAGTGGCTGATGAATTTTAATTCAGATAAAACTCAATTTTTTTCAGCCAATCATTATCGCAATAAATTAGACCTTCCTATATTTATGAACGGTAATGTACTTGATGAGTCATCTACCCTTCATCTTCTAGGATTAACTCTTACTTCTAATCTTTCTTGGAAACCTTATATCAAGTCTGTTGCAAAATTAGCATCTGCTAAAGTTGCATCTCTTTATCGAGCTCGACACTTTTTTACTCTGGATTTTATTCTCTACCTCTATAAATCTCAAGTCCGGCCTTGTATAGAATACTGTTGCCATATCTGGGGCGGAACTTGTAATGATGCCCTTTCTCTTTTAGACAAGGTGCAAAAATGCATTGTAAACATAGTTAGACCTGTTCTTGTAGCCAACCTCCAACCTTTGTTACATCGTCGTAATGTTGCTTCTCTTTCTCTTTTCTACAAACACTATAATGGGCACTGCTCTAAAGAGCTAGCGTCTCTTGTGCCATCTACTAAAATTCATTCTCGTGTTACTCGTCATTCAATTTAGTCTCATCCTTTTTCTGTTACTGTTCCTAAGTGCTCCAAAAACTCTTATTCGTCTAGTTTTTTCCCTCGAACATCAATTCTTTGGAATTCACTTCCTTCATCTTGCTCTGCTGATTCATATATTTTGCAATCTTTTAAGTCATCTGTCAATTATTATCTTGCTCTACAATCTTCATCTTTTCTCTTCCAGTAACTTCCAACACTAATTAGTGGTTACTTGCAGCCTAGCTGGAAACGAAGATGTTTAATATATATATATATATATATATATATATATATATATATATATATATATATATATATATATATATATATATATATATATATATATATATATATATATATAGAGAGAGAGAGAGAGAGAGAGAGAGAGAGAGAGAAAGAGAGAGAGACAGAGTTATGTTGTATTCTGTTGGATTTAAACAGCAATTTGTCTTTTTAAGAGTGATCGATAATTGCAGCGTGTTTTAGGTATAGTTGCAGTATTTTTTAAGTATGGTTGCAGATATATATAAAAAATGAGTTTTTAAATCAAAAAAGTAAAGGTATAGTTTGGTAAAATAAACAAATGAACTGAAATCAAATCAAGTATCTTAATTAACAAAAGCTTATAGAATCAAATAAATGTTATTAGGAATATAAATATATCATTTGATATAATTAAACAATTTCAGTGCTCTGTTTACGTTTTTAAGCATTTTTTTCGGTTTTGTTTATTCTGTTTTAACATCATGTAGGATCTTATTGCTTATCTAGATAATTCTAAAAATGGAATCTGTTAATGAGAAAATTCTATCCAAGTAAAATCTTCTTTGAAAAATATGTTGTGGACACACAGTTTCAAGTGAAACATCGGCTCCACAAACTTATTTATTTCTTTTGTGTAAGATATATCAAATTTTATTCATTGCAAAACAACATTCAGCAAGTATTCCGTACAATAACTAATCTTATTCTAAACTGCTGAAAATAATACTACTAACAAATTTTAAAAATAATAAGTAATAACATATTTGTGTTTACATTATGTAAACTTGAGAACCGTATTTTTTCACTCAATTTGTATTGATAGGAAAACTTCAGTTTTCCTCTATCAATACAAATTGAGTGAAAAAAACTGTTCTATAAAGTACTCAAAACAATTTAAAAAAAAAGCCTTCTTTAAACTTTTTCAGGGTTTTAATGTACTCCAGATATTTATTTGAAGAATAAATCATCACTATTATAGTCACCATTCAGATTACTGTTTTTTTTTTAAGAAAACTCATCAGTTATTCACCAGTGTAGAGGAGATAAACATTTTTGCAAGTAACCGTTTTGATTACTATTTAAAAAACTTTAATTCAAAGTAAGTATAATACCTATTTCAATTCAGATATTAAATTTTAAAAGGTAATTATTTTTTTTATATTAATAAGAACTATTGAGAAGTTTTCAACCATGGTAACAAACTAAATGCAATTATTCAGGCCTGTTTTTTTTATTTTATATATATTTATATTTGCCGTTAGTTGAAATAACAAAAAGAAATTACAATTAAATAAAAACCTGGCAGGAGCAAAAAGAATACAAATTTTCTTATCGCCGAGCCCCCGTTACATTGGTGTTTTGTAAACATTTTAAATATTTACATAATAAATAGTTAATAAAATAGTATATAAATAAAAAAACTTTCAAAAAAAACTTTTAAAATGAAAAATAGAATTTTTTTAACAACAGTATTTTTACGGAATAATTGAAGTATTAAAATGAAACAAAAGATAGATAACCAAGAAGTTATCAATCCACAAAAATTGCGTTGTGTTTTATTATAAATAATGAAATATTACTAAATATTTATTACTAATTATTTAATATCAACAAAAGCACAACAGAAACAAACAAAATTAAAAAGTTAAAGAAATGTAGTAAATGTAGTAGCCTGTTCTTGTTAAATTACTAATACCGCTTACTCTAATTATAAGAAGCAATCTGTTTTAAATTCTAATATAAATTTCTCAGTGAAATTGTTTCAATTTTTAGTTATGTTTTTTCATTCAATTTCTCGTACAACTTTAAATAAATTATTTTCTAAATAATTCTTTTATTTTTGTCAGCCTCGTTATTATTTTGACTAGTAAGTTTTTTTTAATACTTATATACTCGTATTAAGGCTGAAAGCAACCACTATTAAGTTGAGAATTACTAGAAAACAACGAATTGTGTTAAAGAGCAAAAAATCCGTTGACAGAAGACTTGAAAAGTTGTAGATTAGATAATTCAGAAAAACATGAAGATGGTAGAGAGTTCCAAAGCATTGAAGTGCGGGTAAAAAAACTATATAAATAAAAAAATTTAGAGCATGAAGGATCAGACACATTGAACGGATGCAGCTTTGCTAAATAAAGAGTCGGAAATGAGCTTTGATTTATGGAACTTAAAATGATAGCTCCTTTAAGCAGCGACCATGATAGTATGAGACCATGATAGCCACCTTAGGACGATAGGAGAGTCGCTCAAGCTTAGCAGATAAATTTGGTCTAGATTTGTTTACACTGCGTTTTTCAATTTTGTCTAGAGAAGAATGAGCTTTATTAGAAAAAGTCGCCCAAATACGGGAACATTGACATTATCAACAGTATTTCATACAAGAACGAATAAAATATTTGTAGAGGTAGAGAATGGAATCAGGAGTTAGATAATAGCAAACACAATAAATAGAAGCAATTTTAGCAGATAAAAACTTTGCAGCCGATTCTATATATTTTTTTTATGAAAATAGTGAATGGAGTGAATGATAGTTCAAGGAGACGTAAAGAAGTGGACTCAGTGATAGGCTTCTCATTCATTAATATAGGAATGTCAACAATATTGCAATAGTTGTTTTTATGTAAATAATAGTTGTAAATAACTGAGTTTTGTTGAAGTTAAACTCACAAGCATTAATCTGCTACAGAAGAAAGATCAGATTCAAGCTCAGCTATAAAATAAGTTAAATGTCACCTAATTTGTAGATTTTGATATATCTATATTATTTATAGACTATTTAATATATCTATATTATTTATAGGCTATTTAATATATTTATATTATTTATAGGCTATTTAATATATTTATATTATTTATAGGCTATTTAATATATTTATATTATTTATAGACTATTTAATATATTTATATTATTTATAGGCTATTTAATATATTTATATTATTTATATGCTATTTAATATATTTATAGGCTATTTAATATATTTATATTATTTATAGACTATTTAATATATTTATATTATTTATAGGCTATTTAATATATTTATATTATTATTTAATATATAAGTGTATTAAAGTCTATAAATTAGGTTACCTAATAAAAAGGCTATATGGGCTATGTACCAAATTTTATTATTAAATACTATGAATAATATATATATATACTATATATATATATATATATATATATATATATATATATATATATATATATATATATATATATATATATATATATATTATGTATAAGTAAAAACAATCAATAAAAATAGATTTAATATTGTAATATGTTAGTTAAGCTATAGGGTACTCTAAACTTTATTATTTTTATTAGATTGGATTAAACTGAAGCTCTATGCAAAGTTTAAACTTAATTTGAAAAAGTCATAGCAGGTACCAACACTTTTTTTTTTTGAATGCAAAACAAAAAATTTTTTCAAAAAATAATTGTCTCACAGTACCTGACATATTTCTGAAAAACCAAAGAAACAGTGAACTATTTTTCTCCAGTTCATGACTATAACGGCCTAATATTTGTACCTTTTGATACTTTACCTGATCTAATTAAAATCATACAACATTTTAAACTTATCTGATAAAAAATGCTAATTTCTAATTAAGAAGTTAACTTTTGAAGAGACAAATTTGGAGAAAAACTAAAAGAACAGCAAGAATCAGTACAGTTTTATGCAGAGAATAATTGTTCTAAAAAAGTTTCTTTTCACAAAGTATAATAATAGAAAGGAATCATTGACAAGATTAAAAAAACACGTTTCCTACCGCAAAAAAAAAAGATTAAAAATTGATTTAAAAACGCATAAACATGAAGCTTCAATTGAAGTATCTACTTATGAAGACCTTAGTTTTTTTATGGACCTTCAAGACGCGAAATTTGACAACGTTAGCTCAATGAGCAATTATTTATTTGCGAACACTATGCCAAAGATAGCGCTAAGTTAGCCATAGTCAATAGAAGTTATAACTTCTATTGACTATGAATAGAAGGTATAACTTCTATTGCAATAGAAGTTATACCTTGCAATATTCTATTGCAATAGAAGTTATTGTTCCTTTTCAGTCTGAACGTTACGTCGGCTAAACCATAGTCAATATTGACTATGGTTTAGCCGACGTAATGTTCAGACTGAAAAGGAACAATGATTTTATAGCCAATCAAATCGGGTTATTGAGAAACCAAATTTTAAATCAAAACAAAATAAACAGTTTTTCTGGCAAAAATTGTATAACTAAAATCTTTAAATGGCAGAAGCTTCCTGTAACTTTCCTGATCTTTTCGCAGTTGATGTAAAAACTAATTGCCCTCATATAAGGGTGAGTAATTATTTTTTCAAGCTATATGTTTTTGTCAAGTTCAAAAGTTTATCAAAAAGGAACTGAAATTAGTATTATACATAAACACTATATTACAGTATTTTTTCAATAAGGTTTTTTTGTTGTATATCATTTACGTAGTAGGGTATAAAATGATAAATTTTATTGTTATCTGTTTTTATTTGAACCTCATTAGTTCAAACCAAGTTCTGACGTAATTTTTTTTTACTTTGAAATATATTGGTAGTAGAGGTTAAAGTTACTGAATTAAAGCTAGCTTTGAAAGACTTGCTTTATCTAGAACTTACTCCAAAAACAAGAAACAAAATTCGGTAAGCAGTTTTTTTATATCAGCTAAAGGTTTACCTGCATAATTGTGTCTGTTGTGTGGGACACAATATTAATTCCTATTGACTTTTTCAACACAGTCATTCAATCTAGTAACACGACTTGGTAGCTTATATGGAAGTTTCACAACTAGTAGCTATCCGATGAAGCTAAACTTGCTGTATCTAACCTTTATATAGAAATAATTGTTTAGAAACATTATCAGATATTATTTTCGCGATAAAAATTTTAATGAAATTTTTTGTGGTGCACTGGAAAATTTTTTTATGAGTGCAAACTAGAAAGTATGTTTTCAAACCTCTGTTTCCACTTGAGGGTGTTTCTTCAACAGTAGCATCAGCAGATTGAAGCTTCAGCAAGCTCAAACTTATATAGGCTTGCAAAATATATAGACTTTGATACAGTAATCCATTATTTTTCTAAGAAAAAGGCATGCAAAGCAACCTTGTTTTAACAAAAATTTTCTATTTAACAGCATTTATATTATTTATAAATGTTTTGTAGATTCTTCTGAGCAAATCTAATTTTTTTTGTATATTGTATATTAAAAGATACTATATACATTTTTTATTGCAATTAGTAAGGGGGAGAAAAAAGATTATTGTACCAGCTCATTTTTCTCCATGGCTCTAGTAGATATGCATAAAAATTTGTAAACTAACCACTATATGATGCAGTTTTTTATCTATGTCTTCTCAAATATTTTTTCAATGCTGATTTAAATTTTATTTATTTTATTATTGTTTTTTTTGACTCAAAAGGTTAATATCTTTTAAATCAAAGAAGAAAAATAATTTTATTAAAATTTTTTAAAAACTCTTTACAAAGAAGTTTTTTTTTTCATAATATGCAATCTTTTAAATAGATGCAATTTTTTTTTATAGATGTAATAAATTATTGCATCAATAAGTTGAAAGAAGAAAAAGTAGTCAATAACTAATTGTTGTTTTTTTTTCATCCTAAATGTTTCTTAAAAATTTCAATAAAAGTTGCACATGTTTATTTCATCAATAGAAAATTTCAATTTTTTATTAGTAATGATAAACAAATTTTTATTAGTAATAATAATAGTAATTTTATTATTAATTTACTAATAATAGATAAAAAATTTTATCTATTATTAGTAATAGTAAAATTAATAATATTGCATTATACTTATGTTGAATAAAGTTTTATGGGATTTTAGGTAATTTCTGCCAGTTCAAATAATACTATTAGTTTTGAGTCTATCAATTTCTTTTTTTTTTTGACTAAAAAATGCCAGCGTTTGAAAATTTGCATAATACTTTTAACCTTAAGGATGTTTCTTCTGCAAGAGAAAAGCTTATTTTAATAAGTGTAGCTATCAAAGTGCTCTATCTAATGTCTCTATCTAAAACTGAGTAAAAATAATAAAATAGTGAAAGACTAATAGTTAAATCCAAAATGAGTTGTTCTTTTTAAACCTGGGCAATAATATAAAGGTTTTATTTTCGAAATTAAGTTTTGCACTCTTTGTGCAACAAGTTTTATTCCGCAAAGGCAATTCCACTTTGTAGGTCATCTTTTAGTAAGTTAAAAATTTTTCTTAATTTTAAAAGTTAACATTTTTTTTTTGGCTGTTCTTTAAAGTATAAAATGTTTTTGTTGAAGTTTTTCATAAAGTACCTCACAGGGTCATAAAGTACGTCAAACTAAATTTATCTTTTAAATATATGGGTCATTCCATATGAAACTATCCAGATATGACACCCTTACATCTCAGAATTCATTCATTTTTACCTCACTTGCAGTTTTTTTTTAGCATATTTTGATCAACTATTAGAGAGACAATTAATGAATCTAATTTTTTTAAGAAGACCCTAGATAAAATAATGTTATACAATTAAACTTTTTATTCAGGATTTTGGGCCACAGTCTTCATTTTACCTCCAAAAATCATGAATTTACAAGTCAATAATTTTGAACAAAATTGAATAAACAAGGCATTTCCTGAGACAATCAAGTCTTGAGGTGCTATCTTTGGATTCCTCAAGTAAAAATCTATTGGGGTATTAAATTTTAGGAAATTTCTCTAAGCTATTATGAAGATACAATATGTCAAAGTAGCATTGTAGTCGCTTCAGATAATTACTAAAATGTTGAGTCAGCATTATTTTAACTGACGATATCTCTGGAACCCATGTGTATTTTTAACTAAAATTTCTGCAGTTTTTATTTTTTTAATATGGACTGCAAGTGAGGTAAAAATGAACAAATTCATTTTTACCTCACTTGCAGGCATATGAGTGTTGAATATAATTTTTTTATGGATGATTTCATATGGAATTACCCAGAAGTATGATCATTTGCTCTCTTGCGCAGAGATTTTCATTTAACATAAAGCCCTTTTTAGCCATACAAATGTTTCTTTTTTATCTTATATGTTTATAACAGCTTGTAACTAAAAATTATTTTAACAAGAAATCTCAAATAGAATATAAAAGCGCAATACCATTTTTTTTATATTTTCATTTTTTTTAAAGCTATCTCAAGGTCAAACATCTTTTTAAAAAATGCAAGTTGTTTTTTAGGAATTTTTTAAAAATAAATCTGTTGAACAAGAGAATTTTACTTTTTTTCTCTTATTCAAATAATTTTGAAAATGAAATTTGAAATTGAAAAAAAAAATTTTAAGATTTAAAAGAATATTAACACTTGCTGACAATAATTATAAATTTAATTGCAGTGGCGTCCGTAATACCCAGTGGCATAGCAAGGATTATTCTTGAAATTCAAACATAGATCTAGCTACAGTAACAATATCAGATTTAGAAGATAGTGTAAGTGAGAAAGAAAGTTTTATTTAAATTATAAACATTTTAAATAATTCAATTTTTTTTTTTGCAAAGCCATCATTATTTTTTGTTTCTTAAAAGGATCCCCAAGTTCCGAGACAAGTTCTGTTCATATTATAGATAAACATTAGAAAATAAGTTGAAAGTTAATTAAACTTTCCAAAACAAATTATTGAATGAGATTTTAACAAAATTAATTTTTAACTCCATTTTGTTTCTGGCGAAGGAAAGTTCCGGCTCTTTGACTATTTTTATTTTTTAAATCAGGTCTGATTAATGCGCTTATACTCGATGTCAATACAAAAAGTTTAAATTGCAGGGGTTTCCCCTTCAGTGGTTAAACGAAAATAAAAGATTCAAGTTTTTAATATCAATTTTATACATGTCTGAAAAATATATAATATATCATTTTAAAAATGAATTCTTGAATTAGAAATATAAATTATTATAAACATAAGTTAAAAATATATATAAGATCATTTTTAAAACAGTTTACTAAATTTATTAAAAAAATAAAGATTTTTCAAAATTTAACCTTGTTCGATTATATTGTACTTAGTGTTGTATATAAAAAAAATTGATTACTTGTTTCTAAGAAAATTATTCATCTTGTGTATTTTAAAGGTTGCTTCAACTAAATTACTTTTTTTATTATGCTAGTTTATTTAGCTCAAACACTTAACAATATGTTAAACAAAAAACAAAAACACGCTACAGGCTTTATGAGAAAGTTCACTGTAGCCTACAGCGAACTTTTTTATAACTACTGCATACTAAATATGAAGGGGAACCCCAATCTGATTGTGTAAAACTGAATTGAGTTTAAAAAACTCTGTGATTGGTGATAACATTTATTTTTGAAACCAGATATTTTTCAAGGCAAAAAACCATGCAGGTTTGAGAGCCTAAAATTGGGCTCTCAACTGGAGGTATAATGGCAAAACTACAAATACTTTTGTTAATATCTTGTTCAATATTTTGTTATGGAAAGTTTAATTAACTTTTCACTTATTTTCTAATGTTTATCTATGATATGAACACAACTTGTCTTGGCACTTGGGGATCCTTTTAAGTTTCATAGGCAGAAACATTTTATTGCAAACACTAAACCAGTGATTATTGCAAATAATAAACCAAAAATTAAATAATAAAAAATTTAAATTAAAAAAAATAAGTTGTTCTACTGTTTGTTCAAAAAAATAATTTCTAAAAAAATAATTTAAGCATATGCTTAAACTTATAGAAATATAATTCGACTTATTAAACCAATTTTGACTTATTAAACCAATTTTTTTTTTTATTGCTAAACAATTCAAACAAAAAAATTGAATGAAAACGTTGACTTAAAAATCATTTGAATGAAAAAATTAATTATACTTATAGCGCGCTAAATCAAGAAGCAATAAGTTAGGAAAAACATGGTATTCAATGTTTTTTTGCTTTGATTTTACTGGTTTAGTCTATGGATATAGCATGTTTTTGCTCAAATGTGAATTTTAAAGTTTTAAGATGATAATGTTTTAATTTATTAATTAGAACAATTTCATTTATTTACTTCATTTTTTTTTTTAAATGCGTTTTATGTCATTTAAGTTATAAACTGTATAAAACACCATTAAAACAATGTTTTAATGCTGTTTTATACAGTTGGTCACAAGCTGTATGCAATGACATAAACCCAAAAATTGTTTTATATTAGCAAAAGCTTTTTATGTTGACAAAACAACTTTGTTTTACAAAACAGTTTTGTTTTACTGTTGTTTTATAGCTTTTCACAATAAAAATTTAATATTCTTTAAAAATAAAATGTGTTTTATCTTTAGCATGAACCCCCATGTTCATGCTAAAGTGTTCCCTATTAAATAGGTTTCTATAACTGTTTAAAGTAGTTTAAATATTGTAATATTTGCGCTTTTTCTTTTTCTTTTTTTAAGTATCATGTTTGGTAAAAATAAGTAAAAAAGTAATATTTTAATAGTATTAAATACACTTATGCTATTATTGCACTATATTGGTAGTCCTGCAGATATCTTTCAGTTAAGTGGTGTAAAATAAATTATTTTTTTACTGTTTTTTTGTGCTTATCACAATTACATCTGAAACAACGCACCCTTCCACACACAAAAAAAAGAAAAAAGATCATGTGAGGGCAAGGTTTAGAGTAATGATCGGATTTAGAGTTGGTTTGAATAAGCTTAAGGAAAGGGTTCTAAGTTGTTCTAACTTGATATTTAACCCAAAACTCTAACCCTGATCCTTATCCTCAAATAAACATTTTTGTTTATCTGTGGAAGAATGCATCATAAGACATTTGTGATAAGCGTAAAAAAAGGTAATAAATAATTTTTGTTATGTTACTTGATTGAAGGATTGCCCACTATGCAATGCAACGTAAACTTTAAATTATAACTTAAGCTCTAAAATATAACTGTAACTTATGCTATTTTAAAGCCTGTGAAATGAGAATATTATAAGATAATATTTAAATATGAGAGATATTAAGTTGAAAAAATAACAATTACGAACTAATGTGCAAAAGATACAATTCTATACAAGTGCAACCCTCTTAAAAGTTATATTAATCACCATTAAAGCCACACCAGGGATGGAGGAGGAGGGCAAGAGAGTCAAAAATTTTTTTTTTTTTTTTTGCAATTAGATTTATTTGTGTTAATTCTAGCGCTTTGATATATTTATGATTTTTATATAAAAAGTTATTGAATAATATACTTATTATAGGATTTTATTGTTAGTTATAAATATTGTTCGAGTATATTATTTGTTATTTTTCTATTTTTATTTACAAAGCAAAAATATAATTTTTAGTTAAAAATTTTAGGAAGCAATTTCTGGAAATATAACAATTGATATAAACTTACCTTGTAAGTTATGTTCTAATCAGGGAGAAAATTGGATTTGCTTAACTTGTTCACAAACTTTCTGTAGTCGTTATGTAAATAAACACATGCTGCATCACAGTACTGAAACATCACATCCAATTGGATTAAGTTTTCTAGATGCCAGTGTTTGGTGCTACTTATGTGATAGCTGTGAGTAGATTATAAATTCATTTGTATATTGTTTTATGTTAAATTTTTTTTTAATATATAATATATTGAGCAACTTAATAGCATTAATACTCATTTGTGAGTTATTTCACAGAACTCTTGGCAGCCATTAAACCCAAGTTAAGAGCAAGAAAGAATATCTCAACAATTTTTCATAAAAAATGTTAGCAAAAATGTATGCATAACTAATGTAAATTTTTGTATAATGCATGCACGAATAATATAAATTTATGTATTTATAAATGTATGCATAATTAATGTAAATGTATGCATAGCTTATGTAAATAATGTAAATTTGTTTTTTATTTATTTATTTATTTGAATTTTCATGCTATATTTTTCTATACAATGTTATATTCGAAGATACTGTTGGTTTAGCATAGGAACAGCCAGATATAGTCATTAAGACTAATCCAAAGTAGCGTCTGTTATTGACCAACGTTTTTGCGTACCGAAGTACTACTCAAGCAGTTGGTGGTGACTGGATTTGAACCCATATCGACTCTTCAGGCATTAAAGCCCACAAGATTTGTCTTACTCAGTCTCTAACATAAATAGTCAACTTTCCAACTCGCTTTCTAGACAATTCTAATCATTTATCTTCTCTACTCGACTTATGTCTTGTTTCTGATCCTTGTTGGTGGTCAGCTCCACATTCACCCTAAAGTGCTTCTGATCGCAGTTTGATCTCTTTAAAACTATTATCTCATTCTTCTTCATCATCAGAATCCCTTTATCATTGTACATCTTACAATTACCTTAAAGTTGACTGGGACTCTTTCCGTGATTTTCATTGAGATGGCCCTTGGGTATAAATCTTTTATCTTCCTGCTGACAAATATACTTTTTACATAACTTCTTGGATTTAGGCTGGCATGGAATCTTTTATTCCATCTCAATGATACCAAATCAAGCCTTCATTTTCTTCATGGTTTTCCTCTCATTGTGCTTCTGCAATTTCCATTTGTAATCATTACTTTCATATCTATCAGCAAAACAATTCTCCAGAAAGCAGGTATCTGTTTAGCATTGCTAGAAACCATTGTAAAAAAGTTTTGTCTAACAACAAAGCCTGCCCTATTTTCAGGTCACAAAATCTTGTATATCATCTCAAAAATTTGGCTCTTGTGACCTCTGGAGAATCTTTAACAATATCTATAATCAGAGTTGTTAACAATGCCAAAAGTAGCAAGGCTGAGGCCAAGGCCAAGACCAAGGCCAAAAGTTACAAGGCCAAGGACAAGAGTTTTAAAGTCAAGGCCAAGATTAATAGCTTCAAGGCCAAGGCTTACGCAAACTTTTTCAAGACCAAACACTTCAATTTTTGCCCGACGTTAAGGCCAATTATTAACAAAACTGTAAGTATCAAGTGCTGTGACAATAAAACCACTTTTTGTAAAAATGGACCAAGGTTATGTGCAGAATTCAACAAAATCAATAAGAAAAAAAATATTTTTTTAAGGCCAAGACCAAAACAATCAAGACCAAGGCCAAAATTTTTAAGGCCAAGGCCAACAGTTTTAAGGCCAAGACTTGAGCTAAGGCCTCAATTTTTGACCTTAAAGGCCAGGCCAAGGCCAAGGACTAACAACTCTGTCTATAATAAGAGCAAATCTGTTTTTCTACCTCTCTAGTATGGTTCAGATTTGTCATCTCATCTAAAGACAAAGCTAAATTGTTTGCTAAGAACTTTTCATCGATATCATCTCTTAATTCCACTAGTTGTGTTCTACCCGATATAGCCGACAAACAGGTTGATTCATTGCTTAGCATGTGTATCATTTCAGCTTCTGTATCTAAAGTAATTTCCTACTTAGACCCTTCTACAGCTTGTTGTCCGGACAACATACCTGTTATAGTCTTGCAGAAGTGTTCTCCATAGCTTTCACCTATACATTCCAAACTATTTAATAAGTACATATCACAGTCTTGTTTTCTAGCCTGCTGGAAAACACCATCTGTTATCCTTATTTTCAAAAATTCTGGAGTGCGATATGACTCCTCTAACTAGTGATTGATTAAAACTCTGTTTCGGTATCCATTTTGGCCAAATTTCAATTTGAGCCGATACTGAAATTTTGGTTTTGGTACTTTTTATAAGTTTGGTAACTCCAAAAGTTACAGGAAATGAAGAAGAGTACTGTCCATCAAAAAAAATCTCACTTCTGGCACAGCATGGAGCTCTCAGTGGCTGGTGAACTTTAACTTAGATAAACTCAATTTACCCTTCATCTTCTAGGATTAATTCTTACTTACAATCTTTCTTGGAAACCATATATCAAATCTATTGCAAAATTACCATCTGCTAAGATTGCATCTCTTTATCGTGCTTGTCACTTTCTTACTCAGGATTCTATTCTTTATCTCTATAAATCTCAAGTACATCTTTGTATGGAATACTGTTGCCATATCTGGGGCCGATCTTCCAATGATGCCCTTTCTTTTTTAGACAAGATGCAAAAACACATTGCAAATATAGTTGGACCTGTTATTGCAACCAACCTCCAACCATTATTACATTAAGACTTTCCAAGAATGTGCATGTGCGGTTGCACGCCTTATTCATTCACGCTTAAAGTAAATTTTTTAGACAACTTAACCACGTTACAATTTTGTAAGCGTTTTAAGAATAAAAAAGAAAGAAAAACAATTACTATATGAAATATAAAATTCAAATAAATTAAGTTTAAAAAAATGTTGTCAAAAAAATAGCATACCTAAATATTTTACAGTTTTTGTTTTCTTATTTTTAGGGTGTTTATTATTTTTAGGGTTCAGAAAAATTTATATGCGCAGATACTCGTTGATAAATTGTGCGCATACATTCGTATAATTATGCACATACTTATTCACATAACTTTTTTTGCAATTTTTAAATCATTAAAAACCGTTAAATTGTTTTGACTAGACAGACAGACAAAAAAACGATTTTTAATTCTTTAATTTTAATTAATGTGCTTTTGGAACAAAAAAATCATCAGTTTTAATAGTGGAATTAAAAGTTAATAACTTTTAATTCCACTATTAAAGCACTTTTATAATTAATAACTTTAACTTAATAATTATAAAAGTGCTTTAATTAAAGAGATAAGTAAGTATATTAATGAAAAATTAAAAGATTTAAGAAACTGGTGAAAGATATCGCATGTCCTACTAACATCATTGGATGACTTAAAAATGATGATGCTCCATTATCTTTAGTGTACTATTTTTTTGATGAAACGAACAAGAAATTCGTAAGTGAGGAAATTATTCAGGAAATGGTTATGAAGTGCTTTAAATTCCTTATCAAATATGGAATTGTCTATATGCTGCCTCAAATGCCTATATGCCTCAAATATAAGAATTGCCTATATGCTGACACCAATATATGCTGCAGAAGGATTCTATTTTGGTGAGGATAAGACTGATATAATCAGTTCAGAATTAGCCTCTAAAACAAATCCAACAATTGCTGAAAATGAAATGATTGAATTTGTTCGAGAAATGACAACACTGATAGAAAAAAGAAAAGAGACAATTTCCAAAATAAGCGCAAAGAGCTATTGGAACATTGTTGGTTGTCAGAAATATCTAGCAGTCTTTGAAGTTGCAAAATATATTATTGAAATGATTTGTTCATCGGCAACGGAGGAGAGAACTTGGTGGATTTTTCTATTTATTTATTCACAATTGAAAAATCGCTTGACAAACAAACAGGTAAAAAAATTAGTTTTTAAATATACAAATAGTGGTTTGATGGATACAAACAAAAAAAATGACTAAATTTTAGAGGAAGAAGCAAGTTTGAGAATGAAGAAGTTATAAATGAGCAAAGGTTATACAAAAATAAATTAAATTGCAAAGTTTTGTGATATAGAAATTTGTTTAAAAATCATGGAAATAATTTGAAATATTTACTAATGAAATTAATTACAAAAAATCAAACAAAAAACTATTTCATTTAATTTAAAGTCACCAGTTTGGTTTAAAAAATATTTTCTTTTATATTTGACAATATTTAATTAACTTCACATACCATTCATTTGTTATATTTGTATGCGCATCATATGCATATTATGCGCATAACTTTTGAATGGTATGCGCATATATTTGCCGATATGTAAATAAATTCCAAACCCTAATTATTTTCCATAACCAAAATTGATACAAACCCTAATTATTTTCCATAACCAAAATTGATACAAAAAAAAAGCAGATATAACAAAAATAAAAACATTTTTTTATATGCAATTTTTTCGCGACTTTTTTTTCTTAATTAAAACTTGATATTTGTATTTTTCTATTAAGCATAATTTTTAAAAAGTTATAACAAAAGTCAATTAAGTTTTGTGTAATAATAGAGGAAATCAGAGATAATAAACACATTAATAATGCAATAACAAATGTAAATAGTGACTGACCAGCTTGCAGAGCCACAACAAACTTTATTATGCCAGCTTGTTTGTTACTCTGTACCAGCATAGAACTATGCGATCTATATGATTTCATTAAGATCAAAGAAACTATTCTTACTTAACATTTTTGCTAATGTGATATATGTCTATGATATATGTGATATATGTCTATGATATATGTGATATGTCTTTGATATATGTGATATGTGTGATATATGTCTATGATATATGTGATATATGTCTATGATATATGTGATATGTCTTTGATATATGTGATGTGCGTGATATATGTCTATGATATATGTGGTATATGTCTATGATATATGTGATATATGTCTATAATATATGTAATCAACCCTTGGAATTAGGGTCGGCATTCTGCAATGCCAACCTAACTGCTGACCATAAAGTGTTTGAGTTCGGCAAATAATTTGCCTACCTCGTTTCTATGTTTTATAATGAGATCTTTGTATCAAATTTTTTTTGTTGACCTGATGCCGACCTCTAAAAGATTGAGGTCGGCATATTATTGTCGACCTCGTTTTTCCTAATTCCAAGGGTTGTGTAATGTGATATATGTCTAGG